TCAGGGGTAGAGAGAAGCATCATGGATCATTTCAACTCATCCCTATATTGTATCTGAACATAAAAGCAAACCAAAAAACCATACCACTGCCACCAGCAATCACTACTCCTAACCAGACGCTCAGTCCACTCTTGGTGGGCAGGTAGAGTGGTTTTGGGAGGACACATTAAAAAAGAAAAGAAAAGAAAAGAAAAGAAAAGAAAAGAAAAGAAAAGAAAAGAAATAGGGGACCTGGGTGGCTCAGTCTGTTAAGCACCGATCTTCAGCTCAGGTCATGATCTCGCAGTTTATGAGTTTGAGACCCACGTTGGGCTCTGTGCTTACAGCTCAGAGCTTGGAGCCTACTTCTGATTCTGTGTCTCCTTCTCTCTCTGCCCCTCCTCCCACTTGTGCACATGCTCTCTCTCTCTCTTTCTCAAAAATAAATAAAAACATTTTTAAAAATTTTTAAAAAGTATCTTTACTTATAAAGGGAAAGGAGGCAGCTACTTTCTCTTCTTTCTAGAAAGGGTCTCCTTAAAAACCTGAAGATCCTGACCCCTTGTTCTAACCTTTAGAATGTAAATAAATCACTTCGGGGACTGGATAAGTCCAGTCTCCAGGTTTATAGAGATAGCCCTTAGATTGAAGACTTCAGAACCTTTTGAAATGACCCCTCTGTCAACCTTGCAGCCTATCTTCTTATATAACCTTTTGTCTCTGGAGGAGATAAGATCAATTTTATTGTTGTTTTTTTTTCATTTGCTTTGCTATATAAATTGTGTAACAGTTCATCCTGAAGTATGCATGTCCTCTGTTGTGTTTACTTAATAATGAATCAGTTTTCAGGGCACCTAGGTGGCTCAGTCAATTAAGCGTCCAACTTCAGCTCAGCTCATGGTCTCATGGTCTGTGAGTTCGAGCTCCACGTCGGGCTCTGTGCTGACAGCTCAGAGCCTGGCGCCTACTTCAGATTCTGTCTCTCTCTCTCTCTCTCTCTCTCTCTCTGCATCTCCCCCACTCACATTCTGTCTCTCAAAAATGAATAAATGTTAAAAAAAATTTTTTAAAGCAGTTTTCTGTCTTCCCATATGGATGTCAATAGGTGTCTCCTTGTTGGTAGGACTTTTACTTCTTCAAGAGTATATTGGTACAATATCTTTTGAGGCTGACTGACAATATCTATTGAAGTGGAAAATACACATTCTATTCTCATCACTAGGAATTTATCCCACAGATATCCTTGCAGACGTGCACAGTGAGTAACACTTCTAGAGAAAAACATTAAGTGTCCTTCACTAGACACAGATAAAATAGATTATGAAGCAGTCATACAATAGAATACTATGTGACTCTCCCAAAGAATGAGACAGACTTTCATGTATTGGCATGGAATGATCTCCAGATAGACTGTCAAGTCAGTAAAACAAAGTGCAAAATCATGAGTCTACTATAATGACATGTGCATTTACAGATGCATGTATTTTTGGAAGGACATGGAAGAGTCTGTTAATGGTGATGATCTCATGAAAGAGGGATTGGTGGTTGGGTGGGAAGGGTGTGAGTGAGTTTTAATTTCTTTTCCATTATGTACTGTTTACTTTTCTTAAACCATAGGAATATAATATTTTATTTTTTTTTCAACGTTTATTTATTTTTGGGACAGAGAGAGACAGAGCATGAACGGGGGAGGGGCAGAGAGAGAGGGAGACACAGAATCGGAAACAGGCTCCAGGCTCTGAGCCATCAGCCCAGAGCCCGACGTGGGGCTCGAACTCACAGACCGCGAGATCGTGACCTGGCTGAAGTCGGACGCTCAACCGACTGCGCCACCCAGGCGCCCCTAATATTTTAAAATAAATATACTGGCCTAAAGATAGATTAAGAAAAGCCACCACAGGGACTTTAAAGACATTAGTAGATGGTACATTGCATAAGCAACACAAAAGCAGTAATTTTATTGGCTTTGTTCAAGCTATATCCCCACTGCTTAGAATAATGTCCCACATACGGATGATGCCCAATAAATATTTGAGGCTGAAACCTAAGTTCCTTCTTTGTCTCTCCCAAGGACTTTGACCTTGGAGTTATTTGATCTTCAGTCCAAATCTCAAGGCAATCTTTGTTGGTTTTCCTACACTCCCTGTGTTTTCCCTTCTTCAACACTTTGTTCATGCTGTTCCATTGGCCAGGAGTGCCCTCTCATCCCCATCCACTTCCCCACCAGCTTTAAATATCTTAAGCCAGTCTGGAACTCCAATCTCCAATTAAGTTTTTCTTAAACCTGGGAAAACACTCTGTCTCCTTAACTTGTGGTGTCATGGAAACCCTATGTGGCTACCTTCCAACACTTATTATATACTATGACTTATCTTGTTTTAAATTTTGTCTGTTCATGTGCTTCTTACCTAGAACTGTGACTTCTTAGGCCAGTGAAACCATTTTCATGGTACTCCATCACTGCCCCCATCCATCCTCACACAGAGTGCTACATAGCCATCAACCCATTCCATTTTTTGATAATTGGGATATGAGTTTAAGTTTCTTTGGTCTCTCCCATTGATTTCTTTACCAGAGGTCTCTGTTAGAATCTCTCTGTTTTTTTTTTTTTTTTAATTTTTTTTTCAACGTTTTTTATTTATTTTTGGGACAGAGACAGAGCATGAATAGGGGAGGGGCAGAGAGAGAGGGAGACACGGAATCGGAAACAGGCTCCAGGCTCCGAGCCATCAGCCCAGAGCCTGACGCGGGGCTCGAACTCACGGACCGCGAGATCGTGACCTGGCTGAAGTCGGACGCTTAACCGACTGCGCCACCCAGGCGCCCCAGAATCTCCCTGTTTATCTAAGTTCTACCTTTCGTAAAGTCAGCCTGCATTCCCTCTTCCTACAAGAAGCCTTACTTGATAACTCAAGGGGATAACTCTTTCTAGCTCTTGCAATAGTTAATGCTTGAATAATTTATTGAAAATGATATGTGCAAAACATTTAACACTTAATGTCACAATTAGTCTTGCAAGCCTTAGCTTTTAAGCAAGTAACTGACATCTCCCAGGCTACAAAACTACAGCACACCAAACCATACAAATAAGATTGTGAAGTGAATCTTTTCACATCCTAATGTGAGGAGTTAAGTCAAGGAAATGGATGCACAAGAAAATAAAGCTCCCAAGGGAAAAGCAGGAGCAAAGTTTCTTAGTGCTTTTGTGGCTGGCTGTATTGGCAAAGAGAATGCTGTTCTCATTAAACAATCAAGCGCAGTCTTGATTTTATCACTTTCTCAGGATGGCTTAGTTAAGACCTGTCTCCTTTCTGTTCCTGATTTTCCACATACACAAAAATGGGGCAGAAAGATCCACTCTAGTTCCTTCCTAGAAAGAATGGATTTGAATAAGGACCCTTCTAGAACTCTCTCCATCTTTATATATCACCGTCACCTCCAATACCTACCTTCCTTCCTTCCTCCCTTCCCTTCCCTTCCCTTCCCTTCCTTCCTTTCTCCCTCCTTACTTCCATTCATCCTTCCCTCCTTACTTTTTAACAGTTCTAGCTGAAACATTTAACTAAAAACTTCTTAAAGTCCACCTCAATTTCTTTTCTTTTCTTTTTTTTGGCCACTGCTATAAAATGATATGCTTCTGGTTTACTTCAAGTTAGAATTACAGAAATTATATACCCTCTACCAAAAAAAAAAAATGCCCTAGAATATTTTCAAGAGTGTTATTCTTTAGCAGATGTAGATGAGCCCATTCAAGGATGAGTTTCATAAATTGTACTATTTAAATCAAATGTTGGCAGTTCTGTTTTCTGTCACCTTTATGGAGAGATGAGCTTCAAAGCTTCATTTAAACTTGAAAGCTGATGACATTTGAGACACAGATACCAAAATCTTTTAAAGCTTAGTTCTTTTCATCAATCTATAAGTTATGGAACATTCAGTCTAAGACAATTGAAGGAAAACCTTCAAACTTAGAACATTCAGTCTAAGACAATTGAAGGAAAACCGGAACAAATTCCGCAGGACTGTAATGAAAAATGGGAGTTATGAAGGAAGGACCAGAAACAGTCCCACTTTGGCAGGGTGTGTAGAGAGATCAGGTTCTCAAATTATCAAAATTGACCTAAACTCTACTTCATTAAAAAAATTCATGAGCAACATATACCATCAATATGGTATTTTCTACAAAATGTGCACTGGCAGCCTGTCTGTAAACACCGATTTCCTAAAATAAGAAGTGTCCTCCTTCATTTCTTCTGTTTTTACAACAAATCTTACCATTTCCTCCAAAGAAAGTCAATTTCTTGAGACAGTTTGCCTCTACAGTGGGTACCTATAATTGCTTGTAGTTTTAGTATTCTGAGCAGTTTCAGAGGGAACAGGTGTTAAGAACATTTCTACATTGTGTTCCTCTGCTCTGTGTTTTTTGTGACATCCTAAGTTCTTCCAAGCAGTGCTCAGGAGCGAGCTTTGTCTCGTGGGCTTTAATTAGCTCTGAGGAGCTAAGCCTGGTCTTCTGTCTTGCTCCTTCCCATATGCCCCTTGGCTTCTGAAACTTAGCTCCTTGTTGAGAAAGCTCTTGGCAATGGAGGAGGCCCCAGAGATCTCTGGAACATTTGCACTGAGAATATAGAACCTTACAATCTGGTCAGAAGACCTTGAAGACATGGTAACACGTTGTGCAGATCTGTTATCAGATTTCCTTATCACTTCCTTCTTTGATACGTCTCTGGCCCAGCAAAATTTAAATCTTAATTTCTTAATGCTAATAGCTCCTCTCTCTTTTTTGGGGCCATACGAGTCCGGAAAGTTTTGAGATGATGGCTGAACACATTTTCTCTTAAAAGCCAAATTATTTCTGAGAGTTTTAAGTTCCTGTTTCTTTTCACCCTCTTTCTACATGATAGATGTACTTTTCTTTTTTTCTTCTCAACTAATTTATTACTTTATCCTCAAGGCTCTCTCTCTGGGGAAAACCGAACATAAAGTCAGAAAGGAAAGGGGATGAAGAGAAATCCACTTACCTTCTTCTGAACTACCAACACCATGATGGTTGCCACAGCAAAGACGAGACACAAAGCCAGCACGGTCGTGGTGAAATAGAAGTAACCACGACTCGTGGTTCCCAAGTGGCTGGCGACGGAGCCTTCTGGCACATGCATGGCTGTGTCTTGAGAAGGGGCCACTCGGTTGAGTGCTTGCTGCAGCCGTGGGTCCATTCTTATATAGTCTTCCCACAGCACACCCTATCTCTCCTCATCTCATTCGGTTCTGGGCCCATCTCTGTTCCAAGAAGGATTCTCCCCCTGCATCCTGGATCATGTGACTTGGAAAAAAACCTTCACCGGCTGCCACACGAAGAAACTCTTCTCTGGGGGCGTGAGGCGAAAGGCGGCAGCAAGGGTAGGGGAGAGGCTCATTTTTCATTGCCAGGGATGAATTTGAGTGCAGAGAAACTGTAGCTACAGAGAAGGTGGTTGATGTCAGAGGGCGAGTAGGAAAATGACGGTTTCCCTACTCCGGGGTGTGTGTGTGTGTGTGTGTGTGCACAAAGCAACTTCTGTTTCATTTAGACTCAGCCACAAAACGTCTTCCTGCTTGAGAAGCTGCACATTCTCTTCAGTGAGGCCTGCAGCTCAGAAGACCTCCGCAGAAAATGTGTCTCTGCTGGGCCTCGGAGAAGCTGGAGTCCTTGGACTGGAGTATAATGACTCCAAAGGGTTCAGTTTGATCCTATCAGCTTCTCCTGAAATCTGGAAATGCTGCCAGATATCTGGGAAGGAAGGACCCATAATAGTGGAGATTTATCCAAAGGGGACAAGTCCGTGGCAGCATGAAATGTGGGGACAAGTTCAAAGAGAGCAGGAATATGGAAACACTGATCTTTTAAACAAAAATTGCTGCTGACTGGATTGGGATATGTCAAGCTTGCATATAAACCTGGGATTGAAAAAAAAATCACAGAAAGGGGAAGGACTGGTGGTGAGGGTGGGGGTGGGGAAGTGCCCCGGTGCAGATGGTGGGGGGCGTGTTCTGGGTGCTGTGTGTGTGCGTGGCGTTGGGCGCCTGGTCTGTGCATGCCGCGCATGTGTGGTGTGCACATATGGTGTGTGGTGCACGTTTTGTGTGTGTGGTGTGTGATGTGTGGCGTATGTGTGCATGTGACTGCTACAGCTGAGCCTCTATCTACTATCTCAGGCACAGTGCTCTTGCTAGAAGTGCTCTACACATTGCGTCACTCCGCCCTCACCTCTGCCCTCTGACGCAGCTACGATTTCCTTTTTACGGATGGGAAAACTGAGGATCAGAGAGCATGCAAACTGTCTCCACCGAAGTGGCAAATGTTGATCAGTGAGATCACCTGGGTGCAGGGCCATACTTGTATGGCCCACGCTAAAGCATTCAATCATCACTGTGCTTGAAGACAGAAAACTTGAGCCCTGGTCTCAGCCCTGCCCACTATTGACCATGGGTGCTTGTGCAGGTCCTATGCCCCTCCCCTTCTCCCCCGCCCCCCCATGCCTTGACATACACATCACATGAGATAGTCTAGGAAGGGAAATCCATGAATGGGGATAGACTTGGCAAAGGTGTTGGCCCATCCTGGTTAAACATTCCCAGTGGTCCCCTGGGGCTGAGTCTAGACTCCGGACCGCTATAATAGATTCTCTGGGGGACAGAGCTGTCACATCTGCAGTTACTAATGATCTCCATTTCAACACCCCATTTAAAATATGAATCACTGCATAGCTGGTGCCTCCAGATGTAGCTCTTTGAATACTTCATTCGGAAGTACCCAGTTCTCTGTAGCGCCCGCCCTCCCCTGCCTTTCTGCTCATTTTTGGCTGCAGTGTATCTCTGAGAGCCAGAAGAAATCCCAGCTCCTCATAAGGAAACGTCTTGTATCCAAAGCCCAGCTTGGATTATTGCCAATGCCACAATTGCAGACTTGTGAGCAGAAAAACCCAGACTTCTGAGCATCACCTGAATTGGGTCAGGCTCTAGGGATTGGCCTGAATATTCCTCCCCTGTGAATCTATAAGATCACAGATCCTGGAGATAGAAGAGTCATCAAGAGGTAAATTATTTTCTTGGGCCAACTCGAATAGTATAAAGTATACCTATTTTGCAGTTGAGGAAGCTGATGACCCCTGGGCCCCAAGTCGGGACTGGTTTTGGGAGAAGTGGGTGCACCTGTTCATCTGGTTTGGTCACTGAGGTAGGAATGAAGCAAGCCAGTGTCCTCAGGGTGCATGCCCAGCTGATCTGGTGAGACAGCTGTGTCCAGTGGTGGGTACGGGCAGCGAGCAGGTACCAGGGGGCTCCATAACCTGCCAGGCACTGCTGAGAACAGAGCCCTCCCTTGGCTTGTCTTCAGTCTCTTTGATGAAAGTGGAAAACTTCTGATTATGGAATGAAAGCTGTAGGTGTTGAAAAATAAAAAAGCTGTGCTTGAAGTGCAGGTCTTCCTGAAGGCCCGTGGGGCTGAGAAGGGCAGCGGAAAAAAATGTTTGTCTTACAGTTACACGTTTTGCATATAGTACAATGTCCTGAGAGGGAAGGCTGACAAGGGGGAAAAAAATCATCCTTTGTTTTGACTCAGAAGCTTCTGAGCAGTTGAGATTTTCAGATCCGTTTGCCTCTCCAGCAGCTTGTGAGCCCGATCCCACTGCTGTGCCTCTCCACCACGCGCAAGCTTGCAACCTTCCCTGGTTCCCACCCCGCTGGTCTCACCCCCTCTGGCTGCCCAGCTGCTCTAGACTCTAGCTGGGCCAACCTAGTGGTCTCATCCCTTGTGCTGCCTGGCTTCTCTCTCCTTTCCATTTGGCCACCCAATGTACAAATGGAAAGAGCTTTCATAGAGTTTCTTGCTGAGTGACTTTCAAATCCATTCTGGAAGCTAAACTGTACAGGGAGCATAGAAATGTAAGAAAGCAGAGCTATTCTGGCTGATGTAGGGGCAACAAGACTGGGGGGGAGGGCTGGGCCCAGCATGCTCATTTACCTTTTAGCCTGGGGTACCTTCAGGATGGAACAAAATTTGTGAACTTGTGATTTAGCTCAAAACCCTTATTCCTCAAATCAGGAAACTGAGGCAGAGAGGTGGAGATGAGCTGAGGGGGTTCATACGGAGAGAGATAAAGTCACGTGCTTGTTCTCATCCCCTCCCTGCTAATATTCCAACCAGCTTGCCAGGCTCCTCCCCCTGCTGCTGCTTCAGATCCTTTTTGCCTCTGCCACCTGCCTCTACCTCCCAAGGAAGCCTGCCCAGGTCTCCCACTCTTGCCAACAACCTCTCTTCAGAATACTCCATGGTCCTGCCACACAACATTATATCCAATTATCTACTTGTTTTGACCTCTGCCAAGTGTGGGAACATGTGTGACTTTTGCATTTGGCATAATAAGACTCAGGGTTCTTGAGGGCAGTCTTCTCCAGATTCCTTGCCTCCCACCCTGCACAATTTGGTGTTGGACCTTTGTATGATCAACCCTCAGTCAATGCTTGTGTTGATATTGTGTTTATGGAAAGAGAAGGTTCTAGAAGTTTGGCTTATACAAAGGAATTGTGTGATGGCATATTTGTCTGTCACTTCTCAATGGTTCTGCATTTCCCTGTCCTTCTCCAGGGTTACTTGGCTGCCCATTAGCTTTTATGTTCCAGCATGGCCCCACGAGAGTCACCACCAGCCTCCTTTCAGCCTGTTGTTAGTGTGTGGCTGAGGTGTGGCTGTAGCATCTGAGACTTAGTGGACAAACAGAACTAATCTCTCATCCCTTCAAGAAAGAACCGAATTTTGGAGAGATGAAGAGGAACCAGCTATAGGACTGCCCACCCCCACCCTGCCCCATCATTGTTTCCCTGTATAAAGAACTGTGATATCTCTATCATACAGACCCAAAGTGTGGTACCTTGGCCAACACTAGCGGAATTTGGTGGTGCAGATTCTTAGGCTCCACCCTAGACCTACTTAATCAGAAACTCAGTCTGGGGTCCAGAAATCTGTTTTAACAAGTATCCCAGGGAATTGAAATTCCTGAAACCATTTGGAAATCATTGGTTCAGGAAAATAATCTGTCTAAATTCTGGGAAGAGTCTATAAGGGATCATCGGGTCTAAGCTCTGGCCTTTGAGCAGATGGAGTCCTATCCCCATTATGCAGATGAGAAAACCAAGGCATAGAAAAGTTAGCGATCAGGGTCATGTCATTGGAGAATGTTGACATGAAGATTCATTTTTCTGTCTCTTGATTGAGTCCACTTTCTAAACTCAAATATGGCTGCAGGCTGTAAAAATACTATTCCAGACGGAAATATGTTTGTAATATTTATCTAAAGTTATCTTGTGGTGATCACTGTATGTGGTAGAAAGAAATATTTTTTAAAACTATTAGTATATGTGAGAGAAGGGCAAACTCTTCCAGGGTATTTTCAAGCAATAAAACACGCAAGAAGGATCTTGTCCCATTAACCGGACAGCCCTCTGTTTTGCAGGGGTTAACATGAGTAGATTGGGCGTAGGTGTTGGCCAGAGTGACACTGCACTGAGAGAATCTAGTGACTGAAGATACGGTGAATGTGGAAGGATTAGGGTCACAGAAAACTACGGTCATGGGTCAAATCAGCCTGCTGCCTATTTTTATAAATAAAGTTTTACTGAAAAAACGGTCATGCCCATTTGTTTATGCATCCCTATAACTGTGTTTGCATTACAATGGCAGAGTTGAATAGTTGCAACAGAGGCCTTATAGCCCACAAAATCTAAAATATTACTACTTAGCCCTTTCCTGAAAAAGTTTGCTGACCCCTGATTTAGAGTATTAAAATAAACTCAACTAAAGGCAGTATTACAAAAGAAGGGATTTGAAGAAAAGAACAGAAATGTGTTTCCTCAGACTCCTCCATAAAATCTGCACTTATGTTAATATTACTAACTCATGTTTTCATGTGAAAAGTTTCTTTCTTGGGATTCACTAATTGTAAAGCAGCCAGATACCCTCATTTGCGTGTGACCAAGTAGACTATTGGAGAGGACACAGGAGCTGAAAGAGAAGCATGGCAGAAGAGATTTGGAAAATATGTAGACAGGTATACTTTCAGCATTGGGAATATGTGTGTGTGTTCATGCATGATATGTAATATCCATATATATGAATATACACATCACATGCACACACCCATGTTATTCCTGCCCACTTCAAAAAGGTTTTGAGGCAAGTTAAATGCACAGATGTATAAGAACTGAAGCCATTAAAACAAGGCAGAAGTTAGGAGCCAAGACGTAAAGTAGAGTAAAGCAAAAGGAGTAAGAGATTAAGAAACCCAGGCGGATGACAGTTTTCAGTGGTTGAGCACAACATGTATACTTCAGAGCTTCTTGGTAACCAGGGCAAAGAAGAAAACATACTGGGTTGCATAACTCTCTTTGATCGTAAAAAGCAGATGAGTTCAAAAGGAAAAATGGACCTTTTGCTGCTTGTATAGGTGCTTTGAAATATATAGCATATTCTGAAATGGCTGATGGTATTCTATGAATTTAATGCATGGCATCACAATGAATCAGGATAAGAGCCAATCTTAACAAGTGAAAATACTAGAATATTTTAAAAGAAACATAGTCTTATGATTTTCAGTGATGCAGAACTAGCAATAAACAAACAGTAGGGCAGTGGAGAATTCAAGGCAAAAACAAAACAAAACAACAACAAAAAAGAACATCACTTTCCTGGCATCTAGGGGCTTCCAGGAGAGCTGAAGGACTAGAAGACTCCTAGGTTAGATGGTCCTTAAGAAATCTGTTGTCATCTAGAGAAGAGAGGAGAATCTGCATTTTTTTGCAAAGCTGGGAAAAGATATTTCCATATCAATAAAACATAGGTGAGGAGAG